TGAGAAGTATTTTCTGGACTGATGCCACTGTGATTAACTCTTTAAATCATAAAGCCTGAAAACAAGTATAAAGGGCATGTTTGTTTTTCAACAAGATCACCGAAAGTGAAAAAAAAACACACACACACAATCTAATAGATTTTTAACATTTTTTGACCGATTTACGAGTCACCTGTGGTTCCATTAATAAACTTTACCAAATCTAAGTAAAATGATATTTCAATAAAATTACTTAATTTGACATATCACTTTCAAAAACTCCCCAAAAAATAACAGCCTGCAATAACAACATTTTGTTTAAAACACACATACACACACACACACACACACAAAAGAGAACAATCGTACACTGTGACGAAACCGAGAAGCCATTAAGGACTTGGCTGCAACAAACAGTCATATGACACAAGTCCTGACATTTCTTGGCTGAGCAGCAGGCTGTGTTTACACAGAACAGATAAAATGAAAACAAATTAAAAATGCCAGTACTGGTAACACATGTGGGCACATGATCATCACATTTGTAAAAAATTCTTGTGAAACAGATAATCATAGATAAGAAATTCACCTTTTACATGTGTATGTTTTATGATTTGTGGCCTTACAACTATATGGGTTTCTGTATAAACAACAAAAAAGAGCTCTCTCTACTTCTAGCCATGGCTGTACTGTTTCCACAAAAGTGCAGGATTTTATATAGTAGTGAAGAAATGAGGCCACCGTCAGTAAAAATGTCACAGAGTCAAAAATGTCCTGAAACTTCTTGGAGTTTGGAGGTATGTTTTCATATCAAAGGCTACTTTGCTGCTACTGCTAAAGGACTACCTTCAAAATAAAATAGTCTTTCCTAGAAAGAGATTTTGTAATATTGCTAGAAGTCACATTTATGAAGGAAAAAATGTCCACAACCCATAAGACACAAAGATAAACGTGCAGACTGTACATGCACACTGAAGTGATTTCTTTACTCGTGTGTCAGATGATAATGTATGATGTGTTTCCAACTGGCTAAGTTCCTATGTCAGGTGGCAGCCATAAAGCAAAACATGGAAACATTTAAACATGCACGACACACTATACTGCATAAGCATAGCTTCTTTTCTTTCTTGAAGCATATAACATCTGTCTGCCTTCCACCTCTCCATCATGAGGTATTACACCCTTCATTCCAATCCACATATGCTGGCAGAGACTTCAATTAAATAATATATCTTAAATGCAGCATTTCTTTGCCAGCAGAAATGTTTGAGTCAGATGGGCCATGTTTGTCCGTTTCTTTGTTTTACATATTTTAAAGTCATGCTGTTCCAAACTATGGCAGAGATTAGAAAAAAGTTGTCCTTGGGAGAACACGAGATGGCTTGATTGATTTTTGGCCAAAATTCCAGCTCAGAAGTTGTTTGATCCATAGACTTCAATGTTGGATTGATTGTACGGTTTAATCCATGCTTTCATCAGATTTTGTCCACTAGTTTGTGTTTTGAGTTATGAGACTCATATGCATGTCCTCTCGTGCTCTCTGTTACACATTTTCACAACTGCTGAAAACGTGGAACGTGCATTTTTCACTGTGATGGGCATCAGATTTTTTTTGCAAGAGTTTGCTACCCATATCTTCAGTTTATTAAAGAACCCTATGCTTCATATTTGACCGTATTTCTCCACCTAACCTGCACCCTTTGAAATTACAACCTCAAACTAATGAATAAATATCTACATTTTTTCTATCCATCAGTTATACAAACTTTATCCTGTACAGGGTCAAATTGAATCACAGTTTTTTATATAGCACATTTGAACAGCTGTTTTGCCGAAGTGCTTTCCAATAAAGAAGATTATGATTGGTGTTATAAATGAACCTAACAAGTTTAGATATTGAGGTTAGGACCCTATAGTGTTACATATGGTGTGATTTTACCTGACTAATTTACACAGATGGGAATAAAACACAACAAAAATGTTTTTAAAATACAGATTCACTTGACTATAACACATATTAAGGCTGAGACCTTGCAGTGTTATTAACTACGGAGAAGAACATAACTAAAGTAATAATGAAGCTAAGACCCTACAGTTTAACAACTAACCACTACAAACATGCATGGGCTGCTAGAGTCCATCCCAGCTGACATTGGGTGAGTTGCTGTGTACGACCTGGACAGATCATCAGTTCATCTCAGGCCAAACACCAATGCACACTCAAACTTACTGCCAATTTGAAATCACCAAATAACCTATGATTCATGTTGAAGGAGAAAATCCACACAGGCACATGGAGAAGATGCAAACTCCACACACAGAGACCTCAGCTGACCAGCATGTTTGAACCCAGAACCTACTTACTGTGAGGTAGGAGTCCCAACCGCTGCACTATTGTGCTGCCTATTTTGGTTTTTCACTTACATATACCTATTTATCTTTCCCTAATCATTTCCTCTTAGAATTTTTAATATATAATTACATGTTTTTATTCAGCTGTGCCTTTCATGTTGAGGTTTCTTTGTCCTTGATTGTTGTTATTGACTACACCACGTTTTAATGGTTTTCCTGTTTTTCTGTAGTAAATTACTCTTGTACATTGTTTTAAAATTTTTTTGCCAATAAACCTAAAAATAAAAACACATTTGCAGCCCTGCAGCAAGCCATAAAAGCGACTAAAAACAATATTTTCAGTTAATCTACTGCAGTGTCATTACTGCATATTTAGTATTCCTGTGTCTCTCCCTTTAACATCTACGTTTTCATATATGAGTTTTTGGAGGTGGGGCTCTTTTTGTTTTTTTTGTTGTTTTTCCTGGTCAGTAACTTTTGGCAGTGACTATTCTCATCGGCTACTCACTTCCAATTATATGAATCCCAAACAAATCCTCCTGGCTGCTGAAAGAAACATAAAAACATCACTTCATGTGCATTAGAGTTTTTTTTTTTAAATTATTATTCAGAAAGACCTACCAGACAGCAGCACTATAGAAAAAAAAACTGCACAGCTGGCAGACAGGTGTAGGACCGTGTTAAATTCCACACTTCGATGAAAAACTTTAATGAACTCGCAGCAGATTAAACCAACATTGTGTTATGTCAAGCGGTAATGGAGAGCTAACTGAAGCAGTTTTTGCTACTTTCCCCCTTCATCCCAGACAACTCGCTCTGTCTCTCGGTGCAGCTGTCTGAATGAAGAGGCTGTTCCACTCAGATAACAAGTGAACAAGTGTGTGTTTCAGTAAGTATTTGCGAGAGAGAAAACAAACACAACGAAAGAGAGACACAGGCAGACAGAAAGGATGGAGGGAGGGTAGCGGGATGAGAGTATACATACCCTAAAATCCCATGAGGAAGTCATTATTTCCATCCCATTGAAAATACACAAACCAGCGTGCACGCACACACACACACACACACACACACACACACACACACACACACAACACCGGCAGTTCACACATCATACAGACGCACATACGGTGCATACACACAAATATAGGCACACAGAAACAGTGAGGCTGGCTAATAAATAAATAAACAGAGTGAAGCAGGAGAACAATAAAGCCATTTAGAAAGCCCTTATGTCTGGGTTCCACTCAAACCTCCCTCACACACATACATGCACAGCAGCTCTGCATGGGGCATAAATCAGGAAAGTTTGTGTTCTCTGCTTCCTCCCCCCCCTTCCATTACCTCCTTCTCTCCCTTTCCCTCTCTTTTTTTTCTCTCTGTGAGTCGCAGGAGCTGCAGTTATATCTGATTACGACATACAGGCTACCTCCAACGACGCATTACTCACCACCTCAGTCACAGGCCCGAGCGCCGCTTTTACGCTTCTACGCTGAGGAGAGCCGAATGCTTTCACAAGGATGGAGATTTAGAGAAATTTTCAAACATTTCTTCACTTCCTCAGTTGACTTTTGCTGTGTGTTTGACCCTGTGATTCTGTGTGGTAACTGGGTTAAAAGGTCACAGAGTTATGAGGTTTAAGCTACGATAAAGATTAGGTTCGGGTATGAGTGCAGATCAAAGACAAAAGTAAGAGCTTGGGTTTACAGTTATAGTTAGTTTAAGGTGTAATTTTCAGGGGTGACGACTTATTCGGGTTTATTGCGGCTTACATGTTATTTTTGTGGGGTTCGGTACTGCCTTTTTTGGTAGTAGTATTGCACTCATCAAAGTCAGGGTTGAAATCTGGGGATGGCATGCAGGCGATGGGAGCATCACGAGAGGTCATGAGCAAAGTGCTAATAAAATTTACGATCCTGCAGCCTTCTGTCACGCTTGAGTCTGGATCATGCGTATGACACTGATTTTAATTAGTGAGGTGTACCAAAATGTTTCCTTGTTTCACATCACTACTTGCGTGTTGTGAAATGTCTGTCTGTCGAGGCAAGAATCGCAAGCAGATGATCAGACAAGATTGGAAAGCCATATTTAAGAAGCTTTAGGAAGACAAACGATGAAGTCAGTACTTAAACACTAAACATAGCATTTGCAGATGTCTTGGCTTGAATTTGATTGATCGTGTTTTCCACAATTGAGCCTGACACAACTGTCCTTCAGATGTGCTCATTTTAGGGGTTATGTCAAATAAAGTGGTTTTGATACATTAGTAAACTTGTTTACAACCTGTCAGATCATACATCTTGTCAGACTGACAAAACTGTTCCCAGATCTCAGTAGTTACTGTGATAGAAAACAAGAAATATCACCCAAGTTGTTATAAAGTCTCTACCTTTAAGAAGGGGACTAAGAGTTATGGTAACCAGGTTAAAGTTTACAGATAAATAAAGTAGAATCATTGCAAAGTTCTCCTAAGTATTGTAAAGAAAAATGTGCATGTGTGAGCCCAGGCAGCCCCATTTCTCCGGCTGGAGTACTCTACACCACTGGGCTTCCTGCCAAAGGATTGCTCAGCATTTAACAAAAAAAAGAATGGGAGAGAAAGGGAGAGAGAGAGAGAGAGAGGTGGGGAGTCATTAGGGAGGAGGGACAAATACAGTATGAGAGAGTGAGGGGTTGAAAAGAGGGTGGCAGACCTGCAGAACGTGAGACAGACAGAGAGCAGCAGCAGAGACAAACACAACACTTACTGACTGGGACTTTGATACACAACACTCACACATAGAGAAACAAACGGGTAACAAACCTGAAACTTCACTCATTCACCTCTGCATACATTCCTCTCTCAAACACACACCCAGGCGGCGGCAGCAGCATGTTTCAGTGGAGGCTCCCCCAGGCAGTGTGCGTGCTGTCAGTGTGTGCGTGCCTCGCTCTCGCCTATGAGGATGATATCGAGGTCAACTACGCTGACACCTACTACAATGAAATCACAGAGGGAGAAACGCCAGAACGTAAGTGTGTGATTTATCTAATTAAGGTTTTTACATGGTTGCTATGTAACTGAATTCTAGAAAATGAAATGTACATCTTTTGGGACTCATGTACGGCACTGTGTGGGAGGTAAGATCAGGACAGGGAGGTATATGCTCTGTATTTGCCATTACAATGTTAATGAACTGCAGGGGAGCAGCAACAGGTTTTGATTTAATCTTCAGTCTGAAAATGATGTATAGGTATGAATCATCAAACATGGGCAGAAACTGTAAAATTGAGAAAGTTGTGTAGGGTGTGTTTTCACTATGACTTAACAGTAATATCATGATAAGGTGACAGCGAGGTTAAAAAAGAGAGAGAGAGAGAAAGACGGAGAAGAAGAAGTGCAAATCTGTGTGTCCAGGAATACTGTACATGCTGCACAGGTTGCAAAAAAAACACAAAGTGTTTTTAAATAAATATGTCTACTGAGCTATTATTATGATTCTGTGAGAAATTCAAGGCCGACATGTGACTATGCTCCCTTTGGTAAGTTTTGGACAGTTCAGCTACTTAGTATGTTTTAAGAGATAGAAAACATTCAAACTGTTGGCAGAAACAGAGTCTGTGTCAGAGATGAGCAGCATCAAATAATACGCTGAGCCACAACAGCAGGGCTCATTTTCAGCTGCTAATAGAACCAACACATATTACAACATGAATGACTGGCCACCAATTGCAGAAACACTAGAGTATATCATTAAGAAATTCTTCTCTCAGCTGTTTTGGAAAGCATCACAGTTTCTCGGCGTGCATGATTGTGTAGTGCTGTGTGTGTGTATGTGTGTGTGTGTGTGTGGGGTGAATGTGTGAGACAGAAGAATGTGTTCAAGTGTGCACATGAAAAAGAGAAGCAGGCCCTTCACAGCTTGCATTTTGCATTTATTTGTTGTTTTAAACCTGGCAGGAGGTGTAATTGCTGCACCAGCAGTTAACAGGCAGGAAACTGGGCACAGTCTGTAATGTGATTAAACGTTATAGAGGGCGAAAAATTAGAGCGGCTCAAACAAATGAGTGAGAATAGTAAAACACACACACACAAATTCCAGCAGGAGTGGGGGAAAAAGGTTAGTTACGCTTGCCAAAGGGGGCGCAAGAAGGACAAAGAAACACACAACAGTTCATAATTGCTTTGAAAATGTGAAATCACGTGATCGAAGCCCAGTTTGTATGCAGGTGTCTGAGGACGGAGGGAGGTCAAAGGCTGGAGGGAAACACAGATCACTGCCTCTGACCTGCTCACTTCTCTGAATTTCTGAGTGGAATTTGAATTAATGAGGGCAACGTGAGGTCGTGACACAATTCATTTTAAAGTGAGAGACGGGCTGAAAAATTACATGTAGCGGACGAGTAAACCTATACTTTAGCGAATACATTTTGTCAGCACATCTTGACTTGATTAAGAAATTTGCCATGTGTCTCTTTTCTCCTGCGCACTGATTGAAACAAATGTACATTCTGTCATTTGCGTGAGAAAAGTAGAAAGAATTTTAACAAATAAAACACCTTTATCAAAAATGCAGATAAACATCTCATCCTAAAAGGTCCTTTTTTAAACTGGACTTCCTCCATATCCACTAAAACCAGTTCTAAACCACTGTCAGACCTGCTCCTTTACACTGTTAAGTCACAGAGAGCAGAGTGCACGAACCTTCCGTCAAATTTACTTTGAACATTGGGGACATGAAGCCAAAACAAATCAAGCAGTCCTGTAAAAATGCCCCTCTGGACTAGGTTTAGCAGGTATAAACAAGAGTCTGAAAGGCTCAAATGTTAAACAGAACAGTGTGTCTGATAAATCTTCTCACTCCTGGATTGTTTTACCCCCTGGCTTTGTTTTATCCCCCTCTTCCCGATGTTTCTCACTGCTCTTGTTATCTCTCTCCCTCCACTCAGCAGGTCTTCCACTTCCTTTTCCTTCCGTCTTTCTCCTCACTCGCAGCGGAAATCGAGATAATCTCAGAGGGAAAGCAGCAGCCAGAGCTTTTTGGTTTATGAGCCAATTGTCCTATTTCTGTCTCTCGTTCTTATCTCCCTCCTCAACAACTTGACATCCCATCTCGCTCCCACCTGTACTCTTCATTTAACCGGCTGCTCAGCTATCTACCTCCACTATCTCTGCCACAGCATTCACAGCAGTCGGCACTTCCAGCAGAATTAGCTTTTACTTTCTTCTTCTTGTTCCTTACAATTATGTCCTTGAGGTTTCTGTCAGTGATAAAGAGATCACGGTGTTTTCAACTCAGCACATCTGAAAAAAAGTTTGACATATCCTGCTTAACATTCTCTGAGGCCACATCTGCAACTGCATCTAGTAAATAGATTGAGCTTGTCAAACATTTTTAAGGACAAATTCACTTTTCCTTTATGAAGCCCAGAATGTGTAGACATGCGAGCAAAGAAGTGATTAAGGAGGAAATCCTGAGACTTTGTGAAAGAACAGTTCATCTGTCTCCGGGGAGGTGCAGGAGACAGTGCTGTACAGGGTTCTAAAAGCTGCAGGGTGTTCATCCTCCGGTGGGTAGCTTAACTTTTTCTATTTTCCCACCCTTTCTCTCTCCCTCCTCTTTTCACCATCCCTCTTTGCAGCCACACCAAGTTCAGCCCCCTGCAGTTCTCCGGACCTGACAAAATGGGACAAAATGTTCTCGATGTTGGAGAACAGTCAGATGAGAGAGAACATGCTGCTTCAGTACGCAGATGATATCATAAAGGTGGAGATGGGATCGCTGCGCAGTGAAATGTTAAGGTTGGTTGGAAAAATGAATGAGAAATTGTGCAATCAATGCCAAGTAATGGATGTCAGACATGACAAAGACTGTCATTTACCACTGAAATGCAAACACTAGTATTGGGGTTCTTGCACCACTGACATACTTGTTAAACTTGGGTGACAACTAATGATTATTTTCACTGCTGCTCCATTTATAATTCTTTTCCTGAACTGGATAATCGTTTGGTTGCAGGTGTCTACAACAGTATGAACCATAAAAGATGCAGAAAACCAATGTTTAAATTAGTGAAACTAGTAATGGTGATTTTTTTCACAGTCGTCCTTAAAAAAATACTTTGATTATTTTTCTGTCAAACTCACTCTGCATAAGAACGGCACCCTGAATTCATCCAGTTCAGTTCAATTTAAATGTAATTTCCAAATTCTGTACTGAAAGAATCTTGAAAGGATTAAAGCTCTTCAGTTGAAAAGGTTTAAATCTTGTGTGTTGGTCTGTTGTCAGGTTTGTGGCCCAGTATGGAGGCTCCTGTGGCACTGCGGTGGAAACAGCAGGAAGAAGAATGGCCTTGCAGCTGGAGGGTCGTCTCAGAGACACTCTGGAGCGCTTCAAGGTTGGAGATCGTACGTCTGCTGCCGGGAATTCTGTCGGGAGTTCCAACCACCTGGAGGCGATGCTACAGCAGCTCCTCTCCACAGCACGAACACAAGTGTCCCGACTTGCCAAGCTGGAGACCAGCTGCCTCAGCAGCACAGGAGCTGGGATGGGGACGAATACCAAGACAGGATTTCAGCTTCCAGGCGGTGGAAGGGCTGGGCTCAGGGAGCAAGAGGTCACAACACGAGAAGCCGCTTTAGACAGTGTGCTGGCAGCGCTGCAGGAGATGAAGGGGGAGCTGGGGGAGGTGGTGAGGTCATCGAGGCAAAGACACCTGCCTGCAGGTGAGACATCAGTCTAACCATAAACAATCTGTCTTTAATCGTTGTTTCCATTTCCTTGTATTTGTCTTCATCACTCTTACTGTGCCACCCAAATAGCCTTCTTTCATTTTTCTTTCAGCTCTGACACATTCAGGTCACGCTTGAACTAAAAGAATGAGACCCCCCTCTGTTGGGTCTTGCTTCTCAACGTCCGACAACCAATCATGCTTGTGTTTGTCCTAAATACCTTTTGCACTTCCTCTGTCTGTCTCCAGGCGTGTTGTCCTCCTCGAGTAGCCACCTATCCTAACCTTTTACCTTCACTTACTAACAATATTGATACAGTCCAGTCAAAGAAGACAGCCGGCAGGCAAGTATGGGGTCACCTCTATAAACCTCACTAATTGCCTCTTCTTTCCGGTTTCTGGTTTACTACTTATTATAATGACATTTCAATTACAGACGAAAAAGTTACAGAACATATGAAACCTTTAAAGATAAGGATACAAACCTACAGTCTTTGGGCAAACACGTATTTACACAATGTGGTTCCAGTTAACAGAGTTACTGGTTTTGGTGTCCACCCGGGAATTAAACACTGACTAAAAACAATGTAAGTTTACAGATTAAGTGACTAAGCTTGAGTCAGTAAACTTGGACCAAGGCACCACTCTTATCAACTTCATTTCCTTGAATAAATCAAATAAAAGCCACAAAAAATAACAGGACAAGCCATATTACTCATGTCATGCATGCACGTAGACACACCTGTAAGTCTGGCCTACATAAAGAGCAGAGGGAGGCGTAATCCTTAGCCAGTCGCCACAAAAACCACACCAAAGCACCCAGGGAAAGTAGAACCAGATGGAAACCATCATGAACACACACACACACACACACACACACACACATCTAGTTCAAAATGACTTTTTTTTCATCATTATTTTCTGACTGGCAGAAACCGGAGACAAATGTAACATCAATATTTGGGATCTGCAGTTTTAGGGGATTGGGAGAGGGTCTGCTAACTGGAGGGAAAAGAGAAGGCTGGGAGGGAGGTGGGGCAAGAACAACAGAGAGAATAGGAAAGGGAGATGAAAAATGATGGAGAAAACTCAGAGCATGAAGAAGAATAAAAAATGAGGGATGCAGAGTAGGATCATAGGCATGAGCTTTCCAAATTGCGAACTAAATGTGTGTAATGTTTGCATACACACATGCACTCCAGCGTACTATACCTCCAACAGAGCTGTTCAGCACAAACTGCATTTCCATTGAATTATGTAATACAGGCCAAATTGCCCAGAAAGGCCTCACTCAAAGGGATATAAACACAAACCACACACAGTTTCTCTCTGCTTTACGCACCAAAGGATTAACCAACAAAAGTCGACCGCACAATGCAGAATGAGTCTGAAAAGGACTGTTTGTGAGAGAGTATGTTTGTTTGAGTAAAAACAGAAGAAGAGGGAAAAGAAGATGAAATGAAGCAGAACAAACCAATGAACCAGATGACCCAGAGAGGTGTGTGTGTGTGAGAGAGAGTCGGTGGTGCATGATCTCATCACCTGACCACAAACTGAACTTTGACTGTGTCCCATGATGCCACCTAAATTTCAAAACAACATTTAGTGTAGGGAGGGTGTGCCATACACTGCAGCTTTTTAAATATGGTATAGTAGAAGCAGCAGCAGGATTCAGCAACTGTAAAATAATCTGAGCTTTGCTGACTTGAACTAACTGTAGTATATTGTTAAATCTGTAGTAATATGTATCTCTATAGGACTCACAGCCTCATCCACAACCCTCTTTAAATGTGAAGTCCCCCAAGGGTGAATTTCAGGCCCAGTTCTTGTCTTATGTCACCACTATAGGGCCAAATAGTTGACACTAAAAATTATCTCCTTTGTTATGTTAGTGATAACCAATTTTTATCTCTGTTTACAGTAAAGCTAATGAACACAACATGCAAACAGCAACTTTACATCAAATGTAGGCAAATCACATTTGAATGCCAGTAACTTAAATAAACAGGGTTTGGGTGTAAAAATTGTGACATTTACTAAACATGAAATTGCTGTTGGCAAATCCAGCTTAAATCCACTTTTTTGCTATTTCTTAAGTGGTACCACAAAGGCCTTCTTGAATTCCCTTTACAATGCACGTTGTTGCTTCTCTCTTTTTTGGCATTCTGTTACTTGCATCGTTTAAAATTGTGTGTTTGTGAGCGTAACGTAAGATTTGCTGTTGGCTGAGTGTGCAGCTGTTTTGCTTCATGTTTTTAATGGGTTTTTGTCACTGTTGTTGTAAAATTCTTTAGATAAACGATGTTGCTAAAGATTTACATAAATGTTGATCTGACATCTGGATAGGCACAGGGTTTCATTACCTGTAATTCACTGGGATCTGTAAACTATTATTATCCAGGAATGTGATCAACATACCTACACTATATTTACTCACTAAGACTGAATGTATGAATGAAAATGCATCAGTGTAAAAATTCAATGAAAAAACAGAACTGAGCTCAAAACCAGTCACAGGAGTAAAAGTCTTGTATCTGCTTCATTAATGTCAGGCCCCTACAGAGGTATACATGGAAAACACAACAAATCCAAAGATTTCCAATGAGCAAGCATATTGGCGAAAAGTAAAGAGGCAATCTCCCTTTACAAACTTTGTTGCTGTTTTTATGCTCAAAGAAAAAGCAACTTGCAAGTCCCATGATGTGGACACAGGTTAATAGGCAAGAACAGGACAAAAAACATCTCACAATTTCACAACCTTTGTTATTAAAACTTATACATTTTGCAGCACGGACCAATGTAGCTAAATCATGTTGGTGTGAGACTGCATTGATCAAGTATTAACCTGCAGGAGGAATTCTGGACCTTTCAGCAGCTGGTCATGACAGACAAAGATTGATAATTATGCCTAAAAGAGCTGCCTATTGCCTGTACATTCGACACACAATTTTCAAGTGTGACTGAACAAAAATACCACTTTCTTCATAATGGGCATATTTGTCATTGCTCAAAACAATGAAAAACGTACTCAAATTAATACTCCCTCACTTTCTGTGTTGCACAGGTTGTGAGATGGCCCTCCTCTTCCCCATGCGTTCCCGTCGAATCTACACCTCCGTCATACCAGATGTTCCCCTCTCCCTGTCCTCTTTCACTGTCTGCATGTGGGTGAAGCCAACCACCGTGTCTAACAAAACCGTGCTGTTCTCTTATGGAAACCGCCACAACCCATATGAAATCCAGCTGCTGCTTGCCCAAACCTCTGCCCTCTTCACCATTGGAGGAGAGGCTCACTTGGTGGAGGCGCGAGGTGTGGTCAACCCAGGACAGTGGATCCACTTGTGCGGGGCTTGGTCCTCCAAGCAGGGCCTGGCGTCCCTGTGGGCAGGCGGTAAAAAGGTGGCCTCCACACCCGGAGTGGCCGAGGGACACGTCTTACCTGAGGGAGGCTCACTCCAGCTGGGGCAGGAGAGAAACGGCTGCTGCCCCACGTCTTCAAGTAGCGGCGTGGCAGGGTTTGAAGGAGGGTTCGATCCTAAGCTGGCGTTCGCTGGAAAGATGACTGGGGTGAACATGTGGGACAGGGTGCTGTCAGAGGAGGACATTTCCCAGCTGGCTTTGCAGGAAGGCCAGGGCTGCCAGCAGATGGGGAGCGCGGTGGCGTGGGGTGTGACGGAGATGGTGCCACATGGAGGCGCTCAGTTCATCAACTGATTCATCATCATCATTATCATCGTCATAGAGGAAATCGCCATCAGCATCATCATAATCGTCAACGTCATGAAAATCCGCAACAGATTTAATCCTAACACTGAGGAGATGTGCAACTGCTTTTATCATCTTTGCTCCTCTAATAGATACAGTTTTAAAATAATTTGGTATTATAAAGACTTTCCTGCTCATCTCCATTGTCATCATGAATGCTAATGCTGCAATGAACTCTACTGGACATGCTCAAATGAGAGAAAGCCAATTGCTGTGAGAGACTGAAGTTTATTTTTGTAACCTAACCTTTTGAACTGAGGCTGTAACACACACATTCACACTCGCACTGACGGACATCAGCTTAGAAAACTTGTAACGTAGCAGAAAACGTGATGCAAGCAGCATTTACCAAAGACTTAATTAGAGTACAAGAGAGACAAAGACTCTATTGTCAAAGTGAACGGGTTCTGAGCCAGTAAACAGAGTAATCACCAGACAGCCATGGAGGAGAGGTAAATAAGAGGTCATGGACAACTACAAGAGATTATCATGTAATTGTAGATTCTTGGCAATTGCAGTTATTTAAAATATCAATGCAAAATCTGTTTCCCCTTTGAATTTTACCATATAAATATAGTTAGTTGCTCTGCTACCATTGCAGTCTTGTAGGAACAATCATTAGCAATGTCATCATTCAACATTACAACTGAAGGCATCACACTAATGTGTTTATGATGTATTTTAATGTCATGTGCAGAACAACATATGATGTGTGGAATTCTTACGTGACTGAAAACTGCTGTACTTGCTTTCATTTTAAGCATGGCCAACTAGCAACTCTAGAAAAGATTTTAGCAACTTATTATTTTATTGTTATCTTCTTGAATTTGTGAAAGCTTTTAAAGCGTTTTTTTTAAAAGATCTTACATTTCTAAACTTGTACTCATCATAGTGTTTACATTCGTATGAGTTATATAATTCCAAGTCTGTGTTGTTAGGTTTTTTTTGTCAGTAGTTTTCATTTATTTCTAGGGTAATGTTTGTGTGTATTCATTTTTGATACTGCATAAAGTAATAAGAGTGTTATATTTGTCATGTGAGATTGACATTGTTGAATTTGATACAAGAAAGTGAGGACAATGTTTACACAATCTAATCTTTTATGGACTAAGTTGTCATGTATTATAATGTAAATTACTTGTGTTCTTGTGAAAAGGTGAAATTGAATGTATTTTGTACATAAATTTATTTTGCATAACATGACTGGATGAATGGAGAGTGAGGTATGAATAAAAATGTCAAGTTATAGTAACCACATTGCTGGATAAGCAGTGTCAATGTCTCCGAGTCATTTCAAAGCTTATCAAGACCATACTTAACTATGGAGTCCTCTTATGGCTTAAAGATAAACTCAGTAAATAAACTGCTTATATAGCTCTCTACAACTTGTGTTCATCGAAGCACAACCACAACAATAACAGGATTATTGGAAGCATTTCAAAGCTCAGTGCCTTGCTAAAGGCCACTCGTGGATATGTCAACAGAAAAATTCAGGAACCAAAGCACCACACCTTTGGTTAGTACACAACCAGTTCTACCATTTGTGCTCCAACATAATCCATATATCCACTGGTAAGGATTTTTACTCCTTTGCTCTGTGAATCAGCTTCTTATCATACTGCTACATTTGTCTTTTACTTTATCAGCAAAGAGTATTTGATTCTTCATGCACTTGGTGTTAGCTGAGGCAAGATCCATAAAAATATACAGGATTGTGCAAGTGTGCACTTTTTAGCAACAAATAATGAGACTGCATCTGCGATGCAATGAGTAGTTTGTATTTATCAGTGGACTTCATACAAAGTGCTGTAAATAGAAAAAAAAAAGAAAGAGAGAGAAAACTAAACTCAGCTTAATACCGGTATGGCTAAGCAGCTAACTCCATGGCTAAAAAATGAAACCAACATTTTAGTGCCAAAACTGCAGTTCCATAAATGGTCACTTGAGGTTGATTCCAAAAGCAAGTCAATCCCCATGGACTCCAGTGTTAAAATGACCCACTTTACAGCAGAAATAAACATGACCACAACCTGGTAAAAAATACAGCTTTGATCTCTTTCGCTAATTTCTATGCTCAGGACAACTCCACATGAAGTGAATTTTTATATGACCCACTCACTTGAAGTTGTCCATTATTATGGGTGTATCATAGAACAATCCATGGCATGCCTCAGCTATACTCAAACTCCACCTCTTTGCTCATTTTTGGTTTAGCTGGGAGTTAGACAAAGTCAGGCACTGCTAAGATGACAACTGCCAGAGCTACAACACCAGGCTTCAAACCTGCTCTTCAGAAAACCGATGGTGAATGTCATAGAGGGTTTACCCAACTTCTTATACAGTCTATAAGTTTGGCCATTTTTTGTCATTAAAACAGCACCAATTTCGCAGCTACGTTGTTCTAAACATCTTGGAGAACTTCCCACAGCTCTTTTATAGATTTAGCATCTTTCACTGGGGCTATAGCATATGTTGCAGGACTCCTTGTTCTTTATGCCCATGACCAGTATTAGTGAGATCATTATCTCACGCTACTAAATATTTTGGGCCAATCTCACACCCCTCTGATGGTATTGTGTGATTGATAAGAACATATCAAGTGCCCAATACTTTTGCACTGGGCTGTGCATGCACACAAAAATAACATGAATGTAGGTTTGAAACTCAAAATATGTCTTTAGCTGTATTCAAAATTATTGCAGGGCAACAACTAAATTCATCCTGTTTGCTCACTAAGTTCACAATAGTTGCACAGATTGTGACATACAGTATGGATAATATAAATCAGAGACATATGCCATCAGCATACTTTTGTAAACTATATTTAACCTTTTGTTTGAAATACAATGACAGCGGGACTGAAAGTACACTGCAACCGTGGAGAAAAAGCATGCATGATTTTTGCTGCTCACATATGCTTACAGTTTACTATGGTACATCCTGCTATGGGCCCATTAGTGAAATATGGGCTCACAGGTTTTTCCTGCAGCTCCAACTTCTGTGTCGACTCCAACTGTTTCTGCAACTGTTACGAAATGGAAACATCAACTTTCAAACTCACTTCCATCAAACCCTACCTCCCTCGCTCTTCTCGCCCTGCCATCCCTTAACCTTACACATCAGAGCAGTCGTAACTATATATGTTTTGCAGCAGTGCAGCCAAAAAAGACATGTAACTTTGATAGACGACACATACCAAACCTCCCTCTTTAAGATCAAGTTTAACTTATAGATGGATGATGAAGGATTGAACTCTTGGCTCCAAATCCCCTTGGGGCCAAAGCAAGCCCACATGTTGTAAACGTGTGTGTGAGACATCTGATAATGACTGACTCCCGCTGTAGCTATAAAGCCTTCAAGCTGTATCCTGCTGTTGGCTCCTTGTAACGAAACACACACACATATGCCCGTAAAGCTCCCTATGTGCTGATAGAAATACAGCAAAGTACAGAATAAAGCAAAGTCATACACCAACATGTTGCCCTCAAAAAACATAAAAAGAAAGTGGCCTTGGCCTTAGTAATGGATAGACACCAAGCAAGAGTCTATCCATTCTGCTAGCTTGCATAATCAACCCATCATCAGCCTTCTCTTGTATTTATGTTGTGATTTCAGAATAGAGGTATCCAGGGTCCAGAATTGTTAAAAAAAGGCAGTATGAGGTTGAAATGGTCAGAGTACAGCAGATGAGCCTGAGCAGTGAGATTCAATCGGGGATGAAATTTTAAAACTGCCTCGGCTGCATTAAAAACTGCCCAAGGAGACATGAAGTTCCCTCGTTATGAAATAGGCCTTCCAGCATGACTTGTGCGCTTTCATCCATCCAATATAAATACATGTGTGTCAGTTTCCAGATGAAATAAAATTAACCATCAGCTGATCGAGTCCTGTCAAGCTGGATTTCGACTGCATATTTGCTAAAGCTTTCAATTTATCCCAACTTTTTATCCTCAGTGTCTCTTTTTCTCTTTTCTTCTCTTCTTTCAGCTTCTATTTGAGTTCACAAAGAACGCCAGGTTACACTGTGTGTGTTAGTGTACATGAGTGTCCAGTGATGTGATATTATGTGATGACTTTGGGGGCCTCATAAATCTGCTGGAAAGGAATATCAGGACCATATTTTTGAGACAAATATAATGAGTATATGTCCCCTGAGCAGCCAACATTCAGGAACTCGATACATGTGTGGGGACCGTAAAGTGTAAAGGTTAAAACGGCAAAGCAATACAACTGTAGGACTTCATTATTAGCTTCTACAGTTTATCAGAGGAATGAGTTTGACTGTGGTGTAAGTCTCAGGGAGATCTAACAACGCCAACACTAATAACCTAAGTTGTTATTTGGTCCTTGATCAGTGCATCTCACAGCAGCACTGCTAGCCATGGCAAAGTGTCAACTATATTTAAACTTTGTTATTCTAAAAAGAAAATGTCAAAAACAGGACAAAGGCATGCGTAGTGCATGAAATTGCATTTTGCTCTTACAAGGTTCTATTGCTCCAGAGCCAGTCAGCAAAACAAATCTATAAAGAAATGTGAGTTCTGTAAAATATGCATTTGAAGCATGGAGTTGGGTTTATTACTTACTGTTATCCTAATGTTTCTTTAGAAGCAGAAGATGCAAATCCCGTAAATAGATTATGTCTTCATGCCAAATCAGCAACTACGACAGTTGAGTAGAAAAGTTTGTCAATTGGGTTTATCTCTTAAGCAAGTGTTTTGTAAGATTTATTTTTTTTAAAGGTGCAATGTGTCTTGTAGTTTAAACTACACATTATTTACATCAGTATTTACAAGTTGGTAATCTTCCCTGCCTTTGTGGGTGTGTTACCACAGCCTCCAGTTATTCAGGAGAATCCCATCATATGCAGCTTAATGTTTGCACATAATACAAAAACTGATCAACTTGTGAAAACATTGCTTGGTTGCATTACTTGTGGAGAAAACCTTGACAGTGTACCTTAACTGCAGCTATTCTCCCAAATAAGCCACCAGGATGAACCTTAAAAGGAAATACATTTGCTGATTTGTCATGACAGATATGCAAAGACTATGTATTTCTAGAGACTAGCTGTAGTGTTTCCTTCTTTAGTTACCATTTAGTGTCAGTTACTTCAACATCAAATCCTGTTGGGTACCACTTGTTTAAAACACAGTACCCATATGAAAGTCTAATGGAGCAATTTAAGTCAGAAAAACACTTGATTTTTGTTTTCCTGTTGGCAGGACTTGTTTTCTCTCCTTTCATCCACATTTTTATGAGCCAAAGGTGCAAAGCATCTTCCATCTATTATTTCAGCCCAAAATCGGGCAAAAAATTTCACTTGTAAAATGAAGCAGACAGTAAAGAGCTAAGCTGTTTCATGTGCTGAGCTGCTGGCAGTAAATGTGCTCGATGGGAGCATCGAGGACCTCACTCTGGTACTGGGTGAGCTGATTAGTCTCATGCACTGTACGTGTGTGTTCAGTTTAGCATGCTCCTAAAAGCACAGATTAGTGTTCATAGACAAAAATACACATATGCACCCTAAAGCAAATATGTTCATATAATTATAACGAATAAGTGTACTATTAGTGGAGAAATTACATTCTATTAACTGAGCCCCTATGCACACGCACGTGTGTGTGTGTGTGTGTGTGTGTGTGTGTGTGTGTGTGTAGGTGTAGGCCTGAGGGGTAAACAGATCTCCACCAGGTAGGGTTAACTATGGACTATGAACCTACACTTCACTAATGAGCTTGAACAGCATCTGTGTTAAAAACAAGGGTTAAAAGGGCTGAAAAAAGGTTTGAAGGGAGAGTCGTCTTTAACGACTGACCAGAGGTCAGCTCAGTTTCCCTTCCTGACCTGAGCTGTTAAGGAGGGAAGTTGAAGAAAACAGTGATCGCATCGGTGCCTGAGGACAGTGTCACCTTGCTGCTGTTTGATCATGTTAGTTCTGCTTTCAGAGGATACGTGCACTTCCTCACATACTGTAAAATTATTAGAAATATTTGGCAGTTGAAAGATTAGATTTGATTACTGATCATTTGTGGGGACAAATGAATTCTTGGTCTGTTACCCGGTCTGTAAACTGTGTGTGTGTGTGTGTGTGTGTGTGTGCGTGTGTGTAGGTGTGTGTGTAGGTGTGTGTGTAGGTGTGTGTGTGATGGGTGACAAAAATAAAGGCAAAATCTGAACCTTTGACCCCAGCAGCAAGGGGATCCAGTGGCTCTGTTATATTTCAGAGAGAGTTTTGTTGGCATGGTTTGGATTTCACTTGTCCCATTAGAGGGCAGGATCATTGCAAACCAATACATAAATGTTCTGAATAGTCACCTTTAGCCTACAATGAAACAGTTCAATCCAGATGAGATAGGTTGGCAATGGCCCATCCACAGGACACAAGGGGTCACTGACTGGTTTGTTGAGTATGAAAATGATGTGTTGTGGCCTTCACGGTCACAAGATGTCAACCCAAGTGAACCAGTATGGAAGTTTTGTGATCAAAGATAGCGCTCTCCATCACCATCATCAAAACACCAAACATCTTTTGTAAGAATGGTGTTCCATCCCTCCAGTAGTGTTCCAGAGATTTGTACAATCAATGCCAAGGAGCATTACACCTCACAAAGACTCTTTGTGGTGTTTTTCCTTGTGATAATGTGTGAGATAAGCGGAAAAGTTGCAACAGTTCATAAACAGAATAACGTGTGGATAAGATGGAACAGGTGCAAGCAGCAATTCGAGCGAAAACAACGACGCTGTTTTTGAGGAAACAGAACCCCTTTAAATAGTGCTTATGTAGCACACACACAGACAAAAACAAACTGCACAAGACAAAACAGCAATTGTCCTTTACTAATGATCATAACTACCCCTTATATATGAATTTCCATCTTGCATCAAAGCTCTATCAGGAAAACAATGATTTGTAACAGCTGCTATTTACCATAATTATTATCCTGAAAGGTTTGTTTTACAACTGCTGATTACAGCAGTAATTCTTTTTTCCACTACAGTAAAACAGTTGATTCCATTGTTTCAGGGTTGCTAACATCCATCATAAGAAGACTGAACAAGTATTACTTCTACAAGCCAAACCCACGTCAGCCGTCAACAACTAAATGAATACAATAGCAGCCATAATGGTTTTGTTGGAAAATCCTTTCAAAGTGTCTTCTTAAGCAGAGATTCTCTGCAAAGTTCTTTCTGCGCTTCTCTTTGTAATCCCAAAAAGCACATGCCTACACACACATTGAATAAGGAGATATGTGACTTTCTGGGGGCGCAGAAATAAAGAAGAGAGAAGATTCCTTTTTGTGTGTTTGGACGTGTGTGTGTGTGTGTGTGTGTGTGTCTTACCTCCCAGTACACTGATTGTTATGGCCTCTGTGTGTTCAGCCAGCAGATCAGCCTTAGCTATAGCAGCCAGGGAGAGATAACTGGACATGTTCCTGCTCAGCTCCCTGTTCCCTCTCTGCAGGAACCGTACCGCTACTGGAACAGCCAGAACCATGACTGACGGACAGCTGTAGTTCTGAGAAGAAGTAAAAAGAAGGGAGGTTGAGTTGATGGTGATTGTTTTATATGTTCGGGGAAAAGGCAACAAGGGGGAATTTGCTTAAGTCATTTACAAAGCCAAATACAACCGAATACAAGACTTCATCCAAACATTAAGTATCAATTTCTTTACTTCAAACCTCTGGACCTCTGGAGCCCATGTGCGTTTGTTACCAATACTAGAAAAATAGTGATTCTACATACTACACATATTTTACAATTTACATTTTTACGATGTAATTTTTAATTAATTTAATCTGAGTAAACACAGCCCGCAGCTCACCCTTCAAAAGTCCCTGAACTTTTGTCAAACTACCTTTAGTCACAACTGAGCAACTAATGAAGCCTTGTTTGTGCTGTGAAGTGCACATTTTTTTTGTCTATCACAGAATCAGTCCAATACAAACTATTTATTTTTGGCTATTTTTTAATGAGACGATTAGAATAATGTCATTTTGATTAAATATCACCGTATTAAGCTAAGATTTAGTCTTCTGATGGAACTGCACATCACAAATGAGTAGTTCAAGGACCGTTGAAGAGTTGAAAATCCAATGATTCAGTCAGTTTTGGCTCTGACAAATGGAGTCATTTTGTTGTTGTTGTTGTTGTTGTTGTTGTTTTAAGATAACCTGAGTCTCAAAAACACAGACAGGTTTTGGGGTTCAGAGGGCTACGGAACAAGCTCAATGATATAAAAATGGAATAACTGTATTTAAATATGTGTGGTTAAAGCATTCTAATATTGCCAGGAGGAATGGTTTGGAGATTCTCTGTTCAGATACTGGGGTATGCAGGACACACACACAGACAAAAGGCATTTTGCAAAGCGTGGACAATACACGGCGACTGGAATACAGATCAATAGCACACAGAGTGACACAGATAGAAGCAGGGACCTGTTTGATGAAGATTCTACTCATTCCAGTCTTTGTTAAATAAAAAGAAGGGGCAGCAAAGCAGGCTTGACTTCACAGTGCCGGCCTTTACTTCTTAATATCTGCAGTGGCTAAGTATAACAGCAGGTGCCTGTCCTTTGTAGCTGCTGGTGTATATGCATGGTGTTAACATTCAGCACACCACACAGTTTAGCCTAAAAATATTCTCATTAACAGCATGCATTACATATATTTAGTGACTTCAAACAATAAACACCAGCAGCAAGTAGCACTTGCAAGCAGCACAAGGAGTGCAGAAGAGATTAAAACAGGCTCTCAGACAAACTGCAAATGCTGGCATATGTCATGTGATGCAAGTATTGAGGGGAGAGAACCGAGGCTGTGTCGTATTGGAAGTCACAGCCACATGCAGGAGTTTGTTCTCTCAACATTTACATCAGGAAGAAGGAGGAAGGGGATTTGAAAAGCACCAGCACCCTCCGCAGGACAGTCTGATACAAAATGTATGTTCACTACACACCTGAGATGTTGTACTTTAAACTTGTTTGCCCACTTTTACAACATCTGCTCTTTCTTCAGAACACCCAAAATGTCTTTTAAACTGATATTTACCATCAGCGTTTCAGAGAGCACGGTCTCTCACACTGTCATGCCTCTATTCTGCCACATGGCGGCAGTGCAGATACTGTATTTACAAAAATGTTATTATTCCACCAACTAGTTTATGCTATCAAACAATCCACCAGTCTGAATTATAGTGCATTCATTTGGCAACAAATATATCAGAATATAAAATAATGACTACAGCCTATCATGTTGTTCTGACAGCAAGGAGCTATTTCAGATTATACACTGTAGTCAGTCTGACACACAATGTAAAGACGGCAGCTAGAGGCAGTGGGTATGAGGTGTAAGTCCACCAGGACACTTTTGCTCCCTGGCAGGTTCCTCATGCAGGGATGTACAGATTTATTCATCCATCCTGTCTTTCCCTCTGCCTCTTACATCTTATTAGGCAGAGTCACTTTAATGTCAGGCTTAGCACAGATCAAGGAGTCCATATAAAAAACACTCAAGCTGCCATCATTGGCTCGACATTCCTGTTCACGTGTGTGTGTGTGTGTGTGTGTGTGTGTGTGTGTGTGTGCGTTACACACAAGCAGAGAGCTAATGAAAAGCCTTCTTTCTAGAGTCTGTTCCTTACATCTCTCCTCCTCTCTGTGGGAGTTTCAGAGGAAAGATGAGACGAGTGTTTGTGCATCTGTGGGTTCAAAATGACGAGGAGGTAAAGAGAGAATAGAAGAGATCAGAGATAAAGGTAGAAGTGCTCCCCCGATAACTGCAGGAGTTAGGACATCAGAGCCAGGAGCTGCCGTCAGTGCTGTCAAAACTTTTAGTCTCACCTCTAACTATGTGGGTGTGTGTGCGTGTTTGTGTATATGTGCCTTTCCTGAGGAATCAGGCTCATTACGGAGGTATTAAGCACATTCCCATTCCTGAAGAAATAGGGAGAAGGGAGAGAAAAGGTGGAGGAGAGAGTCCCACTGCTTTTAAGCTTTTTAGCTGTGGAAGTCTGATGGGAAAAGATTGTATTTGTATTTTCAACCCCCTTCAGCATTGATTACATAAAGTATATTTACTCTTAATACAAAAACCCACCACTGGATATCATGTATCATTAATCTGTACGTTCACTGCTTGTATCATTTTGTGATGATTTTTACTCACTTTGCCTTCCTTCGTTCCGTTCTGTTTCCAACCTTCCTCATCTATGTCAGAGTGCCCACAAGAACTTTCAAGCTGATATTTTGAAGATGTGAACATCTGAGCATATGATTGGCCCATTGTCCACAGCTTTAAGTACAGATGCTACCAAACAAAAATAAAAAGCTCAAAAAAGCGAAGTGCATCGCCACTTTTTGCATTAAGTGCTGGTTTGGACAAGAGATTCCAAACCTGAGAATCTGGACCCTTTTCAGTGGCTGCAAAGTAGAGCTTAGGGGTAGCAGGAAGTTCAGTGGGAAAGAAAACATACTTTGGTTCTAACTACTTAAATTAAAATTGTTTTTTATAGAATTTACCCAATTGTATCTTCAAACTGTACAGTTTTACCCCCTTAATCCCTATATACATATTAAAGTACATCAAAGTAAATGTAAACTAGTATATACCCAGTGAAGCATTCTTAATAAAAAACAAAACAAAAATTGAAAATGTGATTGTAAATGCTTAAAAGGGAAATGTGTCTGTATGAAGAGAGCCTTCACTTTTTATTCTTTAGTACTGCTGACATTTTCAGTGCAGGCTTTCTATACTCTACACCTTTGGAATTGAGTGTCTTTATACTGCAAATTTGCTGCTTTCACTTTGGTAAAAGACCTGAATACTAAATCCATCACATCAACACACACTCCTTTTGTGCTGTGGCCACCGATGTAATGTTGTTAACGATGTTACATCTGTCTCACTGTCTCCTCCTGGAGATGCTTTTCCCTCTAGCTCGTAAGTGTTGTCAATGTCATCGTTGGCGGATATTTTAGTGTTGCTGACAAAGCCTCAGTGGGTTTCCTTCAGTCATTCAATACCACACATGAGATGAACTGGACCATAACTGCATCCAGCATTGCTCTGCATGATGTGTACTGATACACATTTGTGGTTGGTTTTATGTAGGTATAAAGTAGTGCTACTATCAGGGATATCCCTCCCCACTCTCAAATATCAGGATCAGAGCTGTTTAAGGCATTTTTTTTAACTGATCGTATTGGCACAAACCTAAGTCTGACACTTTTTTTATGTCCACTGTCACACGGGTGTCAGAAAGGGAAAGCACATTTTTTTGGAAAGTATTAGAGATGCAAATATTAACGAATCATTATTGATAAAACCAATACTAACGTAAGCTTTATCAAGAGGTCATTAAGACTCACGTAAGTCTTTGTCATGGTAGCCCATTGTTAGCTCACTGCCCATAGTCTGACTGACTGCGTCTTCAGGTCACTATAGTATTAAACAGTAAGAGCCTCCACCTAGTCGCACAACTATTAACTACAGCTAATCTACAACACATTATCTAAAATGCATTTTGGAGTTTGTGGGGTCACAATACACACCGTCCTCTTCACAATATATGTCAGACAGGACCCTATCGGGGCTTTACAACAAAGTCTGTGACTACTTGTAAGACATTTAGGAGCAGCTTTGGTGCAGAAATGCAACTTTTTTTAATGCAGAGTTATTAAGTTGTCAAGCGTATACATGAGTTTAATAACTCGTGTATTATCAAGGAAAATGATACTGTATTGAGACTTAGCATCAGAAGATACTAAATGATAAATGACTAGTATCAGGGGCAAAGAAACATGAATGGGACAACCCTAGTTATTATGCATTGTAAGATGAGGAAAAATCTGTTGCATATCTTATGGATATGGCATTACCAAACGTGTGCCAAACCCTTGCCAACGAGACATCATCTCACTGACACCTGACACTTTTGACAGAAAATAAACTTTGATGTTGCTGAAAAATCTAAATATCATGAGCTCACACAATTTCCCAAGCGTTGACAAGTGTGAGGAAATGTATTTGCTTTTGGTGAAAAAAATACAGCATGAAACATTGTTGTGTACCTGCAGGATACAGCTGGTGATGTCAGACGCTATCTTGGCGTGCGGCGTGTCCTCTGTGTTTTCACCTTGCGGAGTGAGGTTATGTTCTAGACATGATTCCCACAGTCCCACCAGAGCCGTGCTGTGTCGCTCGATGGAGCCGGTCTCCCTTATGGCTGTGGTGATGCGTGTTATGCAAATCTCCACCACAGCTTGGTCATTGTCATTGGTCAAATAGTCCTGTCAGATAGCAACAGGTTGCAAAATTAGCAGTTCAATGATAAATTAAGGACAAAAAAAGATGAATTATGCACAAGAACATAAATAAGTAAAAAAATTCAGCTGACATCTGCCCTGTACTTTTTTGCATAATTATCAACCATGTGTTGGCTGTGCCCATCTAAACATGCATACTGACCGGTGAGCAGGAGATGACCTTGATCTGGTCCAGAGCTTGAGACAGACAGTCTTCAATCTCTGCGTCCTCCAGAGAAAACAGATCTCCCGCTCTGGATAGATCCCTCTGACCCAGCACCTGGCTAAACAGCTGGTGCATCCTGACCCTGGTTTAGGACTCCTTTCAGACCAATCTGGGTCTGCTGCTGCACAGTTTAAGACCTCTTGATTGAGAGGGAGTAAATCCCCGACATAATGATGCGGGACAATCTTGAATTACAGACGGCAACGTTTTAACTCACAGTTTTAAAAAAGATTTAAATATTATACACAGTTCTTTGCATTGTGATCCCAAAACAATAGAAAGTAATGCTTTTCTAAGTTGGTCTCAAGTTAGAATAGAAAAGAAGTTTCAGGTTTAAGGCATACTGGGTCATGGGAACATGCTCCAACTTCTAGAAATACTTTGAATACGTGGAGAAATACAGGATGTATGATGGAGTCATTAATTTTTGTTAAAATCATCCTTAGTGCAGTCCGGGATCAGGTAGGCGGGACGAAGCTGGACCAGTTTGGCCCAATGCTTTTCTGGGTCTGCCTGAGGCCTGTTACCGTGGAGACAAGGCATATTCTGGAGAAGGCAGTCTTTTTACAGCAGAGTCCTGAAGGAGAGGGGAAAAGAGAGGGAGAGGAAGACCAAATTAACTATAGACAGTGAAAAGCTGGGATAATAATTCTGTATACAAAATAATATTCCAGCAAGAAATAAATGCAGGCGCTGAGACTAAGACAATCAATTCTGAACAAGTATTAATTGGCATTTTTTTCTTTTTCTTTTTTTTTTTTGCAATTTTGGGTCCTAGGAAACACACTAACAGAAGCGGATGTAGGCCAGTGAAGAAGGAATATAAAATATACATTTTGGGAAATATCCATGTGTACCTTCTTACCAAGAGTCAAACGAGAAAATTGATACCACTCTCATATCTGTCAAGAGCAGCTGGTTAGCTTAACTTAGCATACACCCTGAAAACAGGGATAAACGGCTAGTCCGGCTCTGTCCAAAGTTAACACACTCTGGCAACGAGCACCGTGACTGCTTGCAGTAATTCCTGGTAATCTTGTTGTCACTGCTATGATGCTGAGAGGGAAGACTTCAGTAAGTCATTGATCCTGACCAAGAAACACTCCCAACACGTGACTACTTTCACATTTTAGCATTTGGACTAATGAAACAAACAAGATATAACATAATTAGTGAGCTCTTTTGAATTGAATATGCTATCATTGAATAAAGCCATGTTATCTGTTTTTCCTGGTAAATGTCCCTCTTTGGTCAGTAATTAAACCTCAATTTCAAGTTACACATACTTTTTTTTTTTCTCCATGAAATGGATTTCTTCCTGCCTTAAAATGGCTTAGAAGTAGCTCAACACCATTGCTTCCACTAAAATGTGAGGATATGTGAAATCCCTGCCTCTATGTCCACTCGTCCTCTTCAGCTAGAGCCCAACCAGCTCACCAACAACTTAATTTAAACACTTTAAAACTACTCACCGCAAGACACTGGTGAGTTGTGATATTGTAGGAATTCAGCCATACAAGTTAAGAGCACAAACTCCAGAATTCTGAAAAAGACTAATAACGACCCAGAGTCCCACCCCACAAGTTGATTGGATTGGTTCAAAGTTGGTTGGTTTCAAAGCGGAAATGCTCAATTGGTTCTGACTGCTATTTTCACTCATGACATGTCTTATAGCATATAAAAACCCCATATGGAATGTTAACACGGTTGGCAAAAAAAAAATAATTTACTTGAGGGGGTCTTTAACAAGCTAAGCTAAACAAATGGGCTCCTGGTGGTAGCTTCATATTTAACACTCAGACATTAGAGCTAATCTTCTCATCGAACTCCCAGCCAGAAACCAAGTAAGCCTATTTCTCAAAAAGTGAAACTGCTGCTGGAAGTGCTTTGCTTTCAAGAAGGCTTCATGTGCAAAATTACATCCACATGTAATATTGGAAATATCTTTTTTAAAAACTGCTTAAATCCATCCCTTGGCTTTTTAAAATCTTTGCTCTCCTCCAGTTGTCTGTCCTCCTTTTCACAAGTGCAGCAAGTGTTAGGTTAATGTGTGATGTTGTGATCTAAATGGCTCCTTGGTAATATGTGACACATCTTCTACAAAGCTGTGTATATCATCCAAAACGCACAAACACACACATGCATGAAACAGTAAAGTGGACAGAGTGTATCACGCATATGATTCTTTTGGAGTACATAACTAATAGTAGACATAAATCTGCTGGCTTAACAGGAATACACAATCCTCTACTGTGATGTGTTATGAATGGAGCTAAAGTTGTGCCATGTTAAACATTTACTTGCTATTATCGCTGTTCTTGTGGGCCTCAATTAAACATTAAAACATTAACACTTTGAGGGGCACCGGAAGGGCAGAGGATTGTAAACACACACATGCACACACACACATACGAAAAAGCATGCATGTGCAGTACGCTGACTGTGTGACCCATCCCAGGCTTCACACGTCAGTCCTAATGTAAACGCATACATCACTGCTTCCTGTGATGTTTTAAGTATTCCGCACACGCTCCGTCTTTGAAGCAGCCACCCAGCCTGTCTGCTGCCTGTGATCATGATGACTTTGCTCAGAGCTGAACTCTGTCTCCTTTCACAGGATGAGCCGCTAAGCATATGTATCTGTGTCATTGTCTGCTTCCTGCGCCCGCTTCCCTCCACAATCAGAGACGTCATCTCGTCCTCACACCATTTCTCTGAAAGCCACACTGGAGTGAGCCCAAGCCAGAGCAAAAGGAAAGCACAAAGCGGAGCCCTTGGGAGACCGTTATCTCTCCTGCCAAGCCGGTGACGGCCATGGAAACCCGCCCATTGCCAGGATACCACATCAGGAATTCTTACTGGTCCAAGCCAGGGGCTCTGGGACCAAAACAACAAAACAACCATAAACACCGAGCAAAGAGATTTATGTCACACACAGACACGCCAACACACACATATTATTCCTTTTGTGTGAGTAACAATCAGAGCTCTTTCTGTGCGTGGATGGAGGTATGTATACAGCTTGTGTGCATTTTTACATGTACTGTCAATTTATATAATCTTGAACTTTATGCCAGCCTTAGTTCATAGTGAGGGGGACTACATGGTGTGTTTGTTTTCAAGGAAAGACATTTTGACATTTAGAAACAATAAAATAAGTAAACTGGGAACCAGAAGGCTGAGAAAAAGACACATGGGGAGGGAAAGAGATGGGGTTTGACGTGCAACTTCAGAATGAAACAGAGACGGCAGACTGAGAGACCAGAGTGAGAGAAAGCCAGAGATGGATAATGTTTCGGTGTCCTGAATTCCCTGTGTAAACTGCAGACAACTCACATACTGAGCTTCCATTATTCCACCTGAACGCCCCACTGACACACGCACACCTCCACGTACAGAGTTGAAAATATGCACGCCACCCTCTCTCCCTCCTCACCAGTGAACTGTTTACGTACTGTATCCTCTCCGGCTTGCACTATGTCAGATCCCGCCTGAGTAACCTGGCGTGAGTGTGTGTACGTAAAAGCAGAGGGTTAAAAAAAAAAAAACGAGTCTGAGGAATTTCAGTTCTTAAACAATCAGCTAGTTACTATTAATCACCCAGCTACGGCTCAGCAAGCTTAGGAATGCAGCCTTTAAACACACAGACACACACACACACACACTGAGAGAGAGTCATGTTTCCATCACTTTCGAGGACATAACGTTGACTTTCATTCATTTCCTGGAGACCTATCATAACTAGAACCACTACTAACTACCACTTGCCAAACTCAAACCTAAACTTACACCAAATCTCCCCCCAAGTTGAATATTACACATCATAGGGACTTCCTATTGTCCCCACAATATGACTATACAAACAGATTTATGTCCCTGACACATGAGCAATACAAATGTACACACACACTCACACACACAGATTACATGATAGCTGCAGCAGCTCGTTTTTGCCTGTATTTTTCACAATTAAAAGCATATTTGGGTTATCTTTTTTTCATGTAGTCTGCAAATTCTGCAAAGAAAATTCCTTCTCTGCAACTCAGTTGAATGTGAAGCTCTAGCAGGCACCCACATGTTGCAGGGCGAGCTGTGAGTGGGCCACTGGGTGAGGGGTGACAGGGGGTGCGTGCTTGGGGGGCTGATGGGAGAGTTTACGGGTCTACGTGAGGACAATGTGACCAAAAGGGCCTCTCTCTTTCTTGCCTCCACCACCGCCGCTGCTGTCTTCGCTCGGCGCACTGAGAGAGGGAGAGAAAACACTGACTCTTTTGTACGACCCATGAAGACAGACCACCCCTCCCTTCTTCCCTACCAGCGGTCTCTCCCTCCGCCTCCGCCCTCTCTCTGCTCAGTCGGCCCTATCTTTCAGTGTAATGTGCACCTGCTCAGCCTGCAAGACATCTCGCGTACACACACTCACACAAATAGTTTAGAAAGGAGCTGGGTGAAAGGGAGAGACAGAAGAGGCGATAGAAGGAGGGGGAAAAAAAAAAAAGCCCCACATTCCACTGTTTTCTCTGCACTGCTGCTTCATATTTGACTATCAGAGAATGAATCAAGACGTCTCATGTGGAAGAACAAAAATTCCCAAATGCATCTCTGTCTTTCTTTAGTCCTGATTTATGCAAATTCTTCTTATGGAGAATTGTGAGTGGAGAAGACGGAGGGGAGGTGGAGTTGGAGTTGGAGTAAGAGGCAGCCTAAATTCTGTTGAAACACATCCAAACAGTCATCATTCTCAAAACACATGCAGTGGACTCTTTCTGATTTGCTGTGGTGAAAAGTAACTAAGTACATTCACTCAAGTGTTGCACTTCAGTACAATTTTAACATACTTCTACTTCAGAATTACATTACTTTATACTTCTACTCCACTACATCAGGCAGAAATATTGTCCTGTCTACAGCCTTAGTTATTTTTAAAATAAAGAATTTACATTAAGGTTAATATAACAATACAACACCTTGTCAAAGATTAAACCTGTGTTTTCCAGCCCTTCTGGCCTCTGACGTCTTAGAAAAGCAGCGTGTAGTCGAGTTGTTAACAGCTCCACCAAATACTGATTTTCCAT